AAAAAAAAAAAAAAAAAAAAAAAAAAAACAAAAAAAAAAACGGCAAAAACATCATGGTAGAGGAAAACTGTTCAACCATAGCAGCCAGGAAGCGGGGAAGAAGGGAAGAGGCTGAGAGGAAGGGGCCAAGAACCAGATACAGTGTAGTTCCCAAGATCACATCCCTGTGACTCACCCAGACCCTCTCCAAGTGTGCTTTATTATCTCCTTGGCTTCTCTCAAACCAATCCAACGTGGGACACACCTATATGCCCACCCTCAATGAGCTGAGGAGGAGGATCACTGCAAATTCAAGGCCAGCTGGGCTACACAGTGAGTTCAAAGAGAGTCTGCACTACATAGTGAGACCCTGTCCCAACTCCTCCCCACCAAAAAAACCCCCAAGATGTTTAAAGCAGAGGAGGAGCCTTGCATGGTGGCACACCCCTGTAATCCCAGAATTTGGGAGACTGAGGCCAGAGGATGGCAGTTTCAACCCCATCCAACAATATATTGACTTCACAGGACTTTGTTTCAAAATAAATTAAACTGGGTGTGGTGTTTACACACCTATAATCCCAGCACTCAGGAGGCTAAGGCAGGAGGGTTTGAAGCCAGTATCAGAGGGTGGTCAATTCTCCAACTGCTTAGAAAGGGAGATGGTGAGGATTAAAGAGAAAAAAGATAATAGAGGCTTGCATAGTTTCAAAGTATATGGAGGACCAGGATGTCAGAAACTCAGGGTGGGCAAAGACAAAGACTCTCCCAGCTGAGTATTATTTATTGTGTACACACAATAATTGGAGGGAGAGTCCTGCCGTCAGTGTGGAATTTATGCAGATGAAGATCCTAGGTCTTGAGGCTCTTCTGTTGAGGAAGACTCTAAGGACAGCATTCTTACAATAAACAGTGGCTGTGGGGGCCAAGGATTTAGCTCAGTGGTTCTGCCGCCTGCCTCACAAGCATAAGGACCCGAGTCGATCCCCGGTACCAAAAAAAAAAGTGGGATAAATTAAATTGAAAAGGAATTTAAGGAATGTATCCTTCCCCAAATGAAACCTTTCTGTTACTGTTGGGTTCTCAGGAACCAGGATGTCTTGAGCTGATGCAATCCTGCCCTGATTGTCACAGCATCAAGGGACCACTGAGGTTTTTGGCCGTGACAGGAGGCAAAAATGGAGTTATGTCTCAACATGCATGCCATAGCCTGCCTGTAGGTAGGAAAACCAGGCCTAATCAAAAGTCAATTGTGAAATGATTTTTCCCCAAAATTATGCGGAATTGCTTGTGACACATCATCCTGGGCTGCACAGTGAGTTCAAGGATAGCTGGAACTACACAGAGAGACCCTGTCTCACATAAACAAGCAAACATTGAATAGGCTGAGGATATAGCTCAATGCAAAGGCCCTGATTTTAATCATCACTTAGAAGTATATAGCAGTCTCGTGATCAGTTACCTTCCAAAAGCCCTACCTCTGAACACGAGACTCTGGGGAGATATTTTTAAAAAGTGTTTGTAGAAATGAACACTAGCCAGACTTGGAGGTGCTCTCCTGTAACTCCAGCGCTCTGGGAGGCTGAGGCAGGAGGAGAGTTAGTTCAAGCCCAAAGTGTGCGACCTGGTAGTTTAACAAGTGTTTTAAAATTTAAAAATAAATAAAAGGCTGGGGGTGTAGCTTAGTGCAAAGGCCTTTGGCTCAATCCCAGTACCACAAAATCAAGAAGAAGAAAAAAAAGATACAAGAAGATAAGAAAACAAGAGAGAAGGAGAAAAGTCAGAAAGCACCAGGCACAGTGGCACAGGGACACAAGACTGTAGCCCAAGCTACTCAGGAAGCTGGCAAAGATCATTTGAAACAGCAAATTTGGGTCCAGCTAGGGCAACAGATCCCATCTCAAATACAAAAAGGACAGTCCCTGTAAATTGTGTGTGTGTGTGTGTGTGTGTGTATGTTATGTATGTGTGTGTGTGTGTATATATATAAAACATATGTGTTTCTTGTGTATATCCCTTTTACCCTTATACTTTTTTCATGCCTGAAACCACAATATACCAATGTATGTTCTGAGAACAAATGCTGCTCTTTTTTTTTTTAGCAAATCATTTATTAGTACATTTTAGATATGCATAACGTTAGATTTCCCTTGCCTTAAAATGGCCCTAACTAAACCGGGCATGGTGGTGCACACGCTTGTAATCTCAGCACTCGGGAGGCTGAGGCAGGAGGATCGCTGTGAGTTCGAGGCCAGCCTGGGCTACATAGTGAGTTCCAGGTCAGTCTCAGCTACATAGTGAGACCCTGTCTCAAAAAACCAAAAAAAAAAAAAAAATTTTTTTTTGGCCCTAACTAGTGAGGACGCAGCCCCTCCTAGTGATGTCACAGCTCCCCCAATCCCGAGCCACTACCTCCTCAATCCCACCTCAGCTCCTATAGGCCCCACCCAGTCCTATAAGAAGCCTCCCTGTCTCTCTGTCCTTTGCACAGAGACATCCCCGGCAGATCATCCCCATAATAAAGGCTTGTTGAGGTCCTGTTCTGGCCTTGGTTTTCGGCTTTTTACCTAACATATCATGGTAACATTCATCACAGAGAATTTGCACCAGAACACGATATATCTTAATTGCTTTTCCCCCATTCCTACCCATTAGGTATAACCTTTCTTTCCATTTTTCCTTCGATTTTCTCTTTTTTCTTGTCCCTTCTTTCCTTTCTCCTTCCCCCCTCCCTTGTTCCTTCTCATTTGAACATTTTTATTCCATTTCTTTCTCCCACCCCACAGGTAGAACAGTTCTTCCGGAAGATCTATCAGTTTCTATTTCCTCTCCAAGAAAGTGATGGAAGCGATGTCCCTGTCAGCCCGGAGGTCATGAGGAAGATACACAGGTGTCACACGTGGAGCATGTGTCCAGCCCGCTGACTGAGGATGTGACAGCTGTCTTCAACAGAAGCATCTCTGTCCTCAGACAGATGCAGCGAGAACCTGACCAGTCTTTTCAGTTGTATTTCACGTCGCATACTGACGTTCCAGAGCCTTACTTTTTTCCAGCTCTGTCGGAAGAGCCACCTGAAAAGGAGGGACACTGGGCAAAGCGGGGCCATTCCCAACGTCTTCCAGCTGCTCGGCAACTTCAGCCTCTCCATTTATGAAAGTGTCAGTGAAAAAATCACCAAGACACTGCATGCAACAAAGGCCAGAATTCAAAGGTTACTGTTTCGTAAATGTCTACATTGTTTTCTTTTTTTTTTTTTTTTTTTTTGTTTTTTTTGGTTTGGGATAGTTGAGACTGACCTGGAACTCACTACTATGTAGCCCAGGCTGGTCTCAAACTCACAGCGATCCTCCTGCCTCAGCCTCCCGAGTGCTGAGTTTACAGGTGTGCGCCACCTCGCCTGGCTTCACTAGGTCCTTGACAGCAATGGATCTTTTTCTCCTCCCACCTTTGTGCTCCTCCTCTTCTTTGTGATGTTATTTTGTTCTGATTTGTACTGGGGATTGAACCCGAATCCTTCACACAGCACTAGAGTCTGGAAGGCTTCTTTGCCAGTACATCTCTCACAAGCACTCAGGTCTTAACTGTACTGATCCTCCATACTGTTTCCTTAAGCCACCACTAACTTCATTAAAACACTAAAGGAATGAACAGCTGATATTCTCCGAGTGTGTATTTTCGCTAGGCAGTGTTCTGAGTGCCCTAGGTATTTTATTTACTTATATTTTTGTGGTGATTAGGAATAGAAACCAGAGCTCTGGTGCATGCGGAGCCCGCAACCTATCACTGAGGTCCAGGCCTAACTGTAGATTTTTTAAAAAAATCCCTCCCCCCAACCAGGGGTTGAACCCAATGCCTTCGCATGGTGCAACACCCAGAGCCCCCCTTCCTTTTCAATTTTTTTACTTTGAGACAGAGTCTCGATTAATTTCCCCAGCTGGGTTGGTTTTTGTTTGTTTGTTTTTGTTTTTGTTTTTTGAGACAGGGTCTCGCTATGTAGTTGAGACTGACTTGAAACTCATTATGTAGCCCAGGCTGGTCTCAGACTCACAGTGATTCTCCTGCCTCAGCCTTCCGGGTGCTGGGATTACAGACGTGCGCCCCCACTACCCGCTTTTTTGTTTGTTTGTTTGTTTTTTGTTTCCCCAGCTGGCAACGCGCAGTCTTCCTGCTCCAGCTTCCCAGGCTGCTGGATTACAGGCGTGCACCAGGAGGTCTGGCATGCTTCAATTCATTTACTCTTCACATCAAACCTATGAATAGTTATTCCATTTTACTACGCAAACTGAAGGGCAGAGGTTCCAAACGTGAGGAACGGTACTCCAACCCTGGGCGATCTCGAGGCGCCCCACAGGCTACTTACACTTCCGCAAGATAGGTCGCGGGGAAGCCATGCTATTTGTAGTCCGCAAGGACCGCAACTCCCAGCACCCCTTGCGGCGGCGGCTCTCCCCACACAACAAATCCCGGCGTGCCTCGGGGCGGCCTGGGGTGGAGGGTTCTAGAAGGCGTGACGTGGGGTCCAACCCTGGGCGATCTCGAGGCGCCCCACAGGCTACTTACACTTCCGCAAGATAGGTCGCGGGGAAGCCATGCTATTTGTAGTCCGCAAGGACCGCAACTCCCAGCACCCCTTGCGGCGGCGGCTCTCCCCACACAACAAATCCCGGCGTGCCTCGGGGCGGCCTGGGGTGGAGGGTTCTAGAAGGCGTGACGTGGGGTCTCG